CCAGCCACTCCACGGAAGGAAGACTGGGCAATCTACTTCTGTAAAGATATAACACCTCAGAAACCAAAAGGGGGTCACTATGAGTTGGAATCCACTTGATGGCAGTGAGCTTGGTAATGCTACCTATGGATCATAACAGTCTGATCCACAATGATTCATGGGGATGGTGCAGGACTGGGCAGTATTTCATTCTGTGTGCGTGGGGTTGCCACAAGTAGGGGGACGGCTCAATGGCAGCTAACAACAACAGCAACAGTATCTATTGATTTGAGACAAGTAGGGTGTATAGCAAGGAACTGGTATTTCCAGGACAGTTTTCTGATATTACCACAGCATCCAGTTGGCTATTGGGAGTCATCAGAATTGTGGGAAGGACTAATAATTCTGTTCAACATTCTCAATAATGATTCCCACTGTACCCATCAGAACTAATGGCCAAATAACAGAGTTGTGGTCTGAATAATCCTTCTGGCTCTAAGAATAACCCAAACCCAAAACCCACTGCCATCAAATCAATTCAGACTCATTGCAACCCTATAGAACAAAGTAGAATTACCCTATAGGGTTTCCAAGGCTGTAGATCTTTACAGAAGCAGACTGTCTCATCTTTCTCCCACACAGCAGCTGGTAGGTTCAAGCCACTGACCTTTTGGTTAGCAGCTGAATGCTTTAACCACTGTGCCACCACAGCTCCTTTCTAAGAAAAAGGCACTTCAAATTTTCTGGGTCCTCTAGAGATCGGCAAGTTACTGAAGAAGAATTATAAGATACTAGAAGGCAGTATCAATGTAGGGTGGACAGTCTTTGTAATTAGCTTTAAAAACTCATACAGATTTATCTGCCTGGAGTAGTTTAGGTCGTCTCATCTAAGAACAGGGGAGAGCAAACTATGACCAAAGGGCCAAATATAGCCTGTGCCTGATTTTATATAACCTGTGATCTAGATGATTTTTACATTTTTAAATGGTTGAAAACAATAATAAAAAAAGAATATTGTTTCATGACATATGAAATTCAAATTTCAATGTCCATAAAGAAGTTTTATTAAAACACAGCCTGCACATTCATTTATGTATTGCCTATGGCTGCTTTTGGTCTTCAACAACTCAGCTGAGTAGGTGTGATAGAAACTGTATGGCTTGCAAAGCAACATTTACTATCTGGTCTATTACAGAACAAGTGTGACTCGTGGTCTAGAACAGAGTCCACTTAAAAGTTCTCCTCCAGCTTTAGATTCTTTTAACAAGTTAGACAATCGGTGATTTAATTCCTTCTTCTGAGTTCATTGCTCATGTCCATGCTTAAAATATATTGGTCATTTGTCTGGTATTGTAATACAACTGGGGTTCATACTTTCATAGAAGATATGGAGCTCTGGTAGCATAGTGCCTAAGGCACTTGACTGCTAACCAGAAGGCTAGTGGCTCAAAACCACCAGCC